GTATTAATAAGAAAAATATTTAGAAAAAATTATATACACTTAATTTTTTTAAAAAAAAATTGAACTGGTCCCTTAAAGTTCATTTCTAAATTTTCCTGATCCTAATTTTAACCTATTTCCATGATCAAATGAGTTTAAAAATTAGATTATATCATAAAAATTAAAGCTTTAAATTTTAAAAATGTTTGGATATAACATTTGTTATAAATCATTCAATTTTCAATAATATGATATGTATATCACATGCACAAACGCATTTCGATGAAATTGTGTTGGTCAAGCTAGCTGAATTGATCCCATGAAATTTGCCTCCCACGTCTTCATATCATGAACACAACAAGACCGGCTTATGAAGAAGATAATGCCGTTAGGCAAAAAGCGGCAGGCGGAGGTGTGCTTATCAAAGGCTCATAATCATCTAAGTTATTCATAATGATCTAACTTTATCTTAAATATTATGAATAATACATCTTAATTAGAAATATTTGTAACCAATTCACTTAAATTTCTTTGCTATAAAAACAATAACCAAATCCATTCCAATTTCCTCACAAAAAAAGAAAAAAAATTATATCCATCAAGGTGGAACTCCAAGCCCGTAACCCAACACCTCTTCATCCTTTGCAATTCCCTTTTTCTTCAAAACACTCGTCACCTATCCTTCCTACTAGCCGACGTCTTCTTCCTCATCATCTCTGTCGCCATCCTACTATTCCCACACCGCCAAGCCGGTCTCGATGTCGACTTCCACCATGTGCAGTGACGCTGCCACCCAAGAAGCCAAGCCCCTTTATCACTAATAGCCTTCCTTCAATTGTATTTTCACTACAGCTCAAACCCGTTCAGCTGACAGCGCTTTTGTGTGGCTTTCCTTCAATTTTTGGTTGGCCAGTGGGGGCATGTACCCCAATGGCCCCACTGTAGCTCTGCCACTGAATGAAAGCAATAAATGTAACAACAAAGTAATTATGAAGAAGTAAAGAATGTGATGAATAAATTAAATGTGTAATGATATATGTATGTATGCCAATAATAAATAATACAATAAATGAAGATGAGTTTAATTCATTAATACTAAAATATAACTCCACAAATTTATTATTAATTAAAATTTATCTTATAATAATAATAATAATTGATTATAATAAACGATTAAACTAACAAGAATATTTGAGCTATAACATAATTACATTACATTACATTAAACAATATGATTAATCAATCAAACACAAAGCCACAATTGCCCACAAAATGTTATGTTAATATGAATGAATATATACAAAGAGTGTAAATATACAACCATTGAGCGCAATAATTTTTTTTATTAACATATAATATTAAAACATTACAATGATAAAATAAATAATAATGATATAAATCTAAGATATATATATAACAATATTGACATGATTAATATTTATATGATTCAGCCTAACCTATTGCCTAAGTCCAACCCTAATCTTCAATCAAAAGTAGGGTTCTAATATTCATTTTTGTAACTCGTGGGTGGAGAAAATTTCACAGCATCTCTTCACAAGGAATCCTCCCTTCATTTTAAAGAAAATCTAACCCTTATCTAAGAAAATTCCTAGCAAACATAAGCAAGAAATCCTTTTTCAATGGAGAAATTATTCTGTGCAGACATCAGATGGTTCAGAGATCAATCAAAATGCGCCACGTCACCCATATTGAGCGGTACCTAACAAAAAGTGATTAGCTCGTTTTGGTTGATCTACGGGACGTCGTCCGGTGTCCGCACAGAGGTACCGGTGCTCGGTACCGCTCGATATGGGTGACATGAATAATTTCTCCCTCCAATGCCCTTCAAGATTTTGATGGTTTTCTTAATACTTTTTAAAAGTAAAATTTTTCGCCTAAAAACTTCTTGAAAATAGCAAAAAAATAATACAAATTTATTCGAAATGAAGCCTAAACCCGTCACAAATTTGTACAAAACTCGATACAATCTAGATTAATACAAATACAAAACTATAAGGTAAGAGATGTATAGTGCTCTAAATTTGATCTTAAAAGATTAAATGGTTGAACAATTAAAGCTTCTTTAATGAAGATATATTTAAAGCACACAATAGGTATTCATTTCTCTATGTAATACATACAAAATAATGAATTTATTAGAGTAAATGTGAGTATATATATATAGATCTCACAATAATCAATTATTAACTATGATTATATTCAACTACAATCAATTTACCATGATTGATCACAAAAGTCTCTTTAGAGCCAATATAAAGTTTAGTGGCGATCTACTAATTTTATAGAGACCTGCTAGTATTAATACGGACTTATAAATAAAATTTTTGTGCTAAAAAATTATTTTAAAAAACAGTAAAAAAAAAACTCTTCAAACTAAATCTAATATTACGTCCCAAACTGATAGACTTTTATACACTGAAATTTTAGTCAATTTGAAACCGAAATCGATATCCTGCAACTCAACATTGTTAAATTGAAGCAAAGTTGATGAACTTAGAATCTAACGCTACGCATCTCTCTTATCGATGCTTTCAATGTCGTCCATGGCTGCCAAATCGCTTCTAGGCCGTTTCCTCTGCCACAGTTATGCGTTTGGCGTTTCCCACTCATTCTCTCCCCTACATTACAGCGCATCATGCCACTTTTGTTTCCCGTCCCATCACGTGTAGCCCCATCAAACGAGGTGGTTAATTAGAGAGAAAGAGAGAGAGGAAGAGCTAAAGAGAAGAAGCCTTTCCTAAGGAGGAGGCGAGCAGGAAGAAGGAATGACGCTCTGTTATGTGGGTAAGGCCACCAAGATTTTCTTCTTCTTGGTGGCTCTCCTTGCGTTGGCGGGTCTGGTAGTAGGCTTCGGCCTTCTCCGCCGCGGAGGGGCCAATAAGGCCCACGGTGGAGGCCCGCCTTCCACCACTTTCCCGGATCCATTACCAGCCAACGCCACCGCTACGGCACCAGCCTCATCCGCCAAACCCGAACCCCTCTCACCACCCTCCGCCATTTCCGCCGCAAGCCCCATTGTTTCTCAGCCACCACCGCCTGGGGCACCTGCTGTTGGTTCTCCTCCGCCACTTCCCCCCGCGGTTTCCGCCACAAACCCGGCGTCGCCACCTGCCTTCCTCGTGCCACCTGCTCCAGTCTCCAATGCAGTCAGTCCCGAAGGACCTTAATTTGCTTTACTTTTCTTTTATTATTGTATTAAAGGCTTACACATTGTGCTCATAATTTTTTTTTTCTTTGGTGCGAATTTTAGAGAATTTATGCAATTTGGTATTTAATTGCTTTATGGGGACTTAAATTTATTTTATTTATTTTAAGATTTAAGATTAATATTATGTAAAAGTTAATTTGTCAGGTACTCTGATGTAATTTTTATCCTCAGTTAATTATTTTTTTCTTACCATCAAAATTTTCTTAAATAAGAATTTTAATTTTATTTAATTTATATGTAATAAAATTATCACATTTGTAAGAGCTTTAAGAAGATATACATACTTTAAAATTAATTTATTATTATGTCGATTTTAAATAATAAATTTAATAAAGTTAAGAGGATCATCTCCTAGAAGGAGATTTATAATAGGGGAAGGGATGAGCAATCCCAACTGCCAAATGCATTGTTGACCCCTATATTATCGAACTTAAACTCAATACTTCAGCTAGAATTAAAGCCTCTACATAAAATATATGAACTAAGAATGATGATTCACAAGATTAGCTCAAAATAATCATGATTGTTGTTGCGGGCTAATGTATTCATGACAGTAAAGTGAGAATTTTCTGCATTAGCGATACACAAATGGATAGTTGGAGGGAGAATGGAGAAAACAACATAAATTTTCATATAGAAAATAAAAAAAAATGAAAAAAAAAAAACATCGGGCCTAGCCTAGATGATAAGATTTTACTAAATTTGAGTGAATTACAAAGGTTGACATGTCCCTTAACTTATAGGTGGTGTAATTATAATAGTTTTAAGAGTCGATCAGACTCCGTATAAATACTTGGGGGTTCGTAAGGACCATGGTCAAGTGCAAGTTTGATGTCGGTCGGCAGCTAGGCGGTGGTTCAACGACAACTAGGCGGATGTTCAACGAAGCTCTATCTAATCTCCAGTCAAAGGTTCCCTCATGTAGAGAGTGAGTGTTTATTTATAAATTTTTGTGAGTGGCATAACTTATAAATATGGAGAATATCCATGACATGTTTGAATTGCTGCATCGGACAACTCGCACTGATTCCCTCAATTATAGAGTGCTTTTCAATCATTTATGTGTCTTAGTGATTTCACAATCAAGCGATTTTGGGCTCGTTGGATTTGTCTTGTCGAGCTGCTCCATTCAGCAATAAGCATGTCATATATGGAGACCCTGACTTTTCAAATGCGCTTCAGCCCCTAAATAATGGACCCATTAAAGCTCGAATTGGATCGATTTTGATGTTTTTTGGTTCGTCTCATTGAGATATTCAATATGATTATAAGTTTGATAAATTTTGAGTTTGTATGATCCCAAATTTAATTTCAAAAGTATCTAATTTAGATATGGCTCAAAATTCTTGTCCAATCAAGATAATTTTTAGTGATGTATCAATAATATTCTTAAATACTAACATGTACAGTACTAACATTGGAAATATGCACTCAAATGAACATAATTAGATACTTCAAACATTTTGACTCAACCATGTAAAATGATTATGAGATGATTTATGTATAAGAAGACCTAAACTTTGCACTTTGCAGTGGGCAAGCAAATCTCATTGAGTGAGCTTTCAAATTATTTAATCTGTAGCTGTATCCGTACAATTATCATTGTACAACTTACTGATTTAAGCTTCGTTTGGGACGGCTTTTTTATTGCTTTCTAAAACTTCGTTTTAGTACAAAAATAAAAAAATTTGTACTAAAACTCCATTTTAGAAAGCAATAAAAAAGCCGTCCCAAACGAACCCTTAATGTAGATGATGCAGATCTAATCTTAAGAAGTATCACTGATTGATTATTAATTATTATGTTTATTTTAAAATAAATTTAAAAAGCATTAAAAACAAATTTCTTCAAAAAAATTGGCCATTTTTTTCCTTAGCTGATATAGAATGCTATTGTAGATGATAAAAAATACATAATCTTGTATCAAAATAAAATAATAGAAATAATAGAATATTAAATGTAAATACGTAAAAATTATAATCATTTAAATAAAAATATATAACACATTTCATATTCTAAAAAAACTTAAATATATATTCAATATCAAATACTCTTTTTTTCTTGAAAGATTGTGTGCTTAAATAAAATACAATTTTAATTTAAATGGCAACTAATTTTCAAACTGTGATAATAAACTTCTTAAGATTTTTAACAATTAAACTACTTGACATCCATATAAATTGAACTTTCTGAGTTTGTAGATATAACAACCAAATATCTAATACATGCAGAAATTGGCAGTACAAAAGCAAGTTATATAAAGAAGAAATAGTGTCTGCTAAAAAAACCTCTGATAAGTATAAAGAAACAGGTCAAGCACACCGATTATCAATACATGATATATATGCAGTACAAATTTGATGAGAAGAGAGCAAATGTTACAGGCATTAAGGGATAATCCTCTGATCCTCAGTTACAAGCTCATCCATCAGACAATGAAAAAATCCAAATCTATGGCATACATTTTATCACCATAAATTGGTTCCAAGTATGAGTGTGAGTAAATAATACATTGTGCTGAGAATGAAATCGTTATTGTCATCCATAGCTTAATCTAGAATCCAATGGCCTCATCTGCGTATGGCGGCGAGGAACTCCAATCTCGCAAGCATTGACACGAGCAGCAAACCGGAGCGAGCAGATGGATTCATTGGCTGATGAAGCCTCTGGGGAGATGTTGACAAACATCAAAGTTTTCGAATCACCCCCGAGACAAGGCTAGAATCACCAAAAGTATAGTTAGAATAAACTGGAAGAAGAAAATACTCTTTGCAAAAATAGTTAGTATGCCGGAATACTAGAAATCCAAGCTAAAATTACCTGTAGAAGGTAGGTCAGTTTTGAGTTTCTATAAGGGACATGATCCTCCTTCTTTGCAATTGCAAATATCACATCACTCAAACAAGACAAGCTTTTGTTGATGGCCTTAAGCAATTACAGAAGAAAATATCTAAAATCCATCAAAAGATAAAATTAAGCACACTAAACAGGATAAGTCTTACCTGAGTCTCCTTTAACCTATCACCAGTTGAGCCACTTTTGGCAAGACGTTCACTTCCAGCAAGATCTATTAGGTTCAAAATACCTTGAACCTGTTGCTCTGTGGCCTAAAAATAACAAGCCAATTAGCTCGTGTATTTGCTTACTAACTTAGCGAGATAGGAAGGAAAAACAGGCAAGACTCACGTCATTCATTCCTGATATTCGTAGGGTGAATACAAAATGACTCCTTGATGACTGTTCATTCATTTGTGTCTTTCCAACAGATCTAACGATAAAAAAATTAAAAATAAAATCAAAAGTTGAATTTTAACTTTCATAAAGAAAAATCATAAAAATATTACACATATCATTAAAAAAAAAATTTATTTACACATAAGTCAGATCCCTTGCATGTAGAAGCAAAGTGTCTATTGGCACTGAAAAATCAGGAGGGAATTAAGTGTTTATTGACACTGAATATAACGTAGAAGCACAAATGGTCTAATTTATGCTTTAAATATAACGTAGGAGCACTATAGACCAGCAATAAATCCAGTTACGCTTTAAATGTTTGTCATTATCCTAGATTAATGGCATACTATGTTAGATTTTATTACTACGTAAATTAAATAAAAAATAAAAAATTCAAATACAAAAGGGAACCAAATGTATGATCTCCATATTACTATATTACAAGTTACCTGCTCTGTGCTGCTTGATTAAGAAGGAAAGAGACTTCGTTTATGCTGCATACATCAACCACGGTAAGGTCAGACACAAGCGTGTTGCCAGTTGAATCATGCTTTATCGAATATTGCTTGTTAGCATGTGTTGCATCAGTGCTACCACATCGATTCGGAGATAATAAATCACGGATTGTTTCATTGTATATCTCCAGCATTGATGCCTATAATAAACAAAAGCATAATGGTCGTTAAAAAAACATTAATTTTTCATTATTAAAAAAAAAAAGAAAGAGTGACAGCTAAAATGAATTTGAAAAGTCAAACCTGCATTTTGTATTTCCACCCCTGGTATTTCAGGGCTTGACTAGTCTCAAAGATTTGTTCCAAGGATCTTGGTATTAATCCTTTCTGCTCGTGAGCTTCTGGTTTTCCCATCATGGTATAAGTTTTTCCTGAACCAGTTTGTCCATAGGCAAAAATACAAACCTAAAGGAATTGTAAGTAACTTAGCAGGATTGTGAATTATTTGAAGTTCAAAAAGAAAAACTTAGCGGGGCATAAAATTTAACAATGTACATACAGCAAGTTTTTAGATAAGGGATATCTTTCAAAAGAAAAGGATGAAAATAGTAAGAAACAAAATTGTGTTCTAACTGAAGGATAAAAAAAGATCAATTTTTAAACTTATACTTTTATGCACATGATATGGAAATCTACCCTATTTACAAAACTATCATTCATCTCAAAATAAACTAGTAAATTCATGTATGTGTATGCCATCAAGGTTTGGGACAGACTTTCATCTTAACTAAAAACTTTAATAGCATACAAGTAGAAAATTGGACATCTCTTGTGGAAAAACCTAAATGAATATGAAAAAATTCAATCATTTCAAGTTCACAATGCATTGAGAAGACCCAATTGATCCTCAACATATGCCCAGATTAGAAAGACATTGCCTTTTATGTACAAAAACCTGCCTAGCAATAAACTACTAAACCTAAATCTAAACATTTAGGCTATACACTAAAGAGGCAAACCATACATAAATAAGTATACAATCGTTGATCTAAATTCCATCCATCAAAGGTTTGGCCACACGAGCAAACCATGTGAGAATCAAAATCTGATCTAAATTCCATTCAACACAAAAAGCCTCCCAAACCTAATTCCAAATCTACACGCTGGACAATTTCTGCACATACTTTTCATTGGCTAAATCAAAAAACAAGAAAAAGGCAAGCTATAACTCTAGATAAATCTTTCCCCTACTGCATGACACAGAAAAGGCACAATTGTCTATTGCCCAACTCTAGCTTGGCCAAAATAAAATTGCATCCCATAACAATCCATATTAGGAACTCGGATGTCACAAATAAAAAAAAAACCTGTGAGTCACATGTGCATATTAGAATCCAGCACTCACTTTACTTTTGAGTCCAATTCTCCTTATGTAGCTTTCACGGAAAAGCAGCGTTGTTGGATTCATTTTAATTTAACGGTGTTGTTTTATGCACATGTGACTCTCATTTTCCATTGAAGGCATCGCTAGGAATCCATAAAAACCAAGCAAATTAAAAGAGAAAAATACAAGCAGCAGCAAGGAGTATAAAGAAGCTGAACTTACTTTATAGCCATCAAGTGCGCTTTGTACAAGCTGTGAGATTTCAAAAAATACATCCTCTTGTGATGCCTCATGACCAAATACTTTGTCAAAAGTAAAGGAATGGTTTTGAGCTGCTCAAATAATAATAATAATAATAATAAAAATCATTTCACAATCTATTTTTTTCAACTAATTTGTTGTCTAATACACTAAATTAGAGAAAATGCTCCCTACAACTAATGAAAAAGAAATCTCTTACCATTGTGCATCAAGTCAATGCCACGTCCAAGACATTCAACGCTTGTTGGATACGACACAACTATTCCATCATCTCCCCTATAGTCAATATCAGGTAAAACAGGCCGTACTCTACAGAACACTCGAATGTTTCCTTTTAACTCCTATAAAACAAATGGCAAAATAAAATAAATATTTGAAGTACTAAAAGCATAAAATATAATTAAGAAACATACCAAAATGGTGTTATGTAGCTTCTTCCGAAGCTTCTCTGCTTCAACAAGTTGGTACTCCAAATCAATCACATGACTTTGCAGCTCACTAACCAACTTTTTATTAGTTTCATTTTCTTGGATGATCTCAATGGATGTCAAGTCAGCCCTCTGAATAAATACAATCAAAAGCATTTTCTCAAAAATAGAAATTTGAAATGTGAACTGGCATTTTGATGTCAAAGTTATACTAATAGTAGACTTTAAAACTAACATAACACTAGGTATAAATAATAGATGTTTGGAAGGATTTTGTGGAAGCTTCAAACCTTGAGCTTCTCATTTGCAGCGGCTAGCTGATATTGTAGACTTTTTATTTGATCTTGTTGAGAAGAGCATGTCTCCTGGCAAAGCATAATAATACTTAAGAAAATGTGAGGAGATAAACATAAAGAAGAAAACTAAAGTGTACCAAAAAAAGCAAAAAAAAAAGAAAAAAGGAACCTCTAGTGCAGAAGTCTTTGTAAGAGCAATATTCATTTCCCTACTGGACTTTCCATGAAGTTCCTCATACTTCTTAAGCTCCACGACCATGCATTGAACGTGCTCTAGTTGTTGATCACGATCAACCCTGACTTGTTGTAATTCCGTTCTGAGACATCCTACTTCCTTTCTGAATTCTTCTCTTTGTTTAATTGCTTCTTGTTGAGATGACTATAAAAGGATCAAGATTAGAACTAAACATCTCAAATAGCAATAATGAAATAACAAAAATTGTTAAAATACTTAAAAATGCTTCATCATCATAGCAGATTAATAGAATACAAGCAACTGAAGCTACTGATTATTAATAAGACAATTTAAGATGCTTTACAAAAGGAAAATTGAATCAGTTTCAACAACATTTAATAGTACATCAACTCCTGCAAACGATCAGTGGTACAAACTATCGTAGAAAATTTTAAAACATTAAATAATCTCCGCAAAGAAAAATGTATGCGTATTATGATAAAACTATGGTAGGTGGATAAGAAAAGCGTTGCCTATGCATGTTTTCACGAGTCATAACTCATCATCATCATGATTATTCTTATCCTGACTATTTGTGACGGGTCTATAAATTCTCATTTTTCATTCTTTCTTGCTAGTGTTAACTGAGGTGTTAAACCTCTTATCACATTTATGAGGAACTTTCCATTTTAATAATTGAGATAAAGGAATAATACAATATGTATGCATGCTAATGATATGCAAAAGTATAATAATCAAATGCATCAACTAAAACAACTAGCTTTCAAATGACACAGTTCAAGCATGTATAATACTTGTAAGTCATTGCATTACAGGAAACAGTCTATTGATTCAAAATAAAAAGATTACATTAATCATTGCGTTACAGGAAACACGATTATTGACAATAATGGCATGACTATTGTTAAATCCATAGATGGATCAAAACATCACCTACAACAAAGATACAGTCCTTAAAGAAAACCTAAACAAATAACATGTAAAAGAGTGCATTTCAAAACTATCAATGATGCAGCTGGTAGAATAGAAAAGAATAAAATAAAATAAAAAGCTACTTTCCTCCTAATAAACAACAATTTATGATTTAAAAACTAATTTGAATTAATATGCTCACCCTAATAGTATCAAGTTGATTCTTAAGCGAACTGGATTGATCCCTTAAGCCTGCGAGAGTCTCCATCATAGCAGTCTTATCCTTTTGCAACTTGGTTATAGTATCACCGTTCTTCACAGCATCAGCTTGAAGGTTGCTATTATATTGTTGCAGACTGGTATTATATTCTTGCAACCGTTTGTTTGTCTCTTGCACCATTTTTATCTATTTTGTAACAATGGAGAGGAGTTAGTATTAGTTTTTCACAACTCATACAGGTCCATCAAAGCATTTGGCCTTACCTGATCATTAAGATATTTAATCTCTTGAGTGGCTTTCTCCAGCTCTTCCAACAGACCAGAACGCAAGTTTTCAGAAGCAATTTTTGCCTCAGCCTCTTTCTCGTAAGATTCAATAGCAGCCTGAAAAAAAGGGCATATCCAACGAATGTCAAATCACATAGAACAGCAAAATATAGTTTATTTTCCAACAAATACCATTTTATCCGCCTCTTCCTTCCTAAGTCTTTCCTCCAAAGAGACCACATGTTTCTGATGTTCCCCATTCAACAAAGTTAGCTCATCAATCTTGCAACTCATATGGGCCTCTAAGAAAGAAATAAGAAATTTTTTATTTTTTATGAGAGTAGCGAATCATAAAGAAAATAACATTAACAAATTAGACATTTACCAATCTCAGAATGCCTTCTTTGTTCTGATTCTATCATGCCACGAAGCTTCTCCTGCTCAGCCAAATATCCATCTTCGAGCCCCATGTACCAATTGATGCAGGCCTTGAACTTTTTTATGATATCCCGCAACTCTTTGTTCCTTCCCTGTAAAATTCATATCAAATAGTGGTAAGCAGTGAAGAAAAAAAAAAAAAAAAAACATGAACGACAAAACAAAAGAGATCAAGAATAAAACCAAAATAACAAAAGACCTAATACCTTGTCATCATTTCTATTCTTGGGATTTAGCTTTTCAGCCAACAACTTCTCCACATCTTCTCTCGACTTAAACTCGAGCAGGCCTCCAGTGCTATCTCCATTAGAGCTTTCCGAAGCTGGCACAGCAACCCTACTCCCAGGTATAGCATGTACCGACTGAGGTGCGCGAGAGCGCGTATATGCCGCTTGACCCACCATCTTCTCTCCCCCGATCTTCCGCCTCTTATCTATTCGCAAATCCTCCAAAACCTCGCCCTTCTGCAAAATCATTCCATTTTTTGTACAAACCGCAAGCCGATCAGAACCAAAACCACATAACTTATCGGGTTAAGATTAAGGCTTGGAAGCAAACCTTACATTTGAGGGATTTCCAGAAGTATTGTACGCTGGGGTCATGGGGGGTTTGTTCTGATTCCTCAAGTGCATCGTTTAAGAGAGGGGAAACCTAGATCCGGGAGGGTTAGTGTGGAGGTTAGGGTTTAGATGGAGACAGACGTGCTGTCGATTGGGGTGGGAGTGGGGCCGTGGAGTGCGTTGTAAGAAAGACGAAGGGCACAGACTTTCTTGAGGAACAATAGATTGGAGCAGGAGATCCGACGAGAAATTGCAGCAAGAATTCGCAGTTTTTCTCTTCTTTCTCGATCGCATAGGATTCGTACACCGGCCGACGACAGGATCTCTCTCCTCTCTCCTCTCTCCCCTCCTACTTGAACATCAAGCAGGAGTCTTGCTGCAAGACCGCCGTTTGAATTTTTTTGAATTTGTTTTGAATTCAATTCAGAAAACCCTACTTAATCGGCGCGTATGTCAGTCTATAATTTATTTATTTATTTATTTTTACGCATCATATATTATATATATATATATATAAGCTCTAATCTAAGATCTATCTTAAATTTTATTTGGTACAATTTTTTCATTGCTTTCAAAAATAACTTTTAAGCATAAAAATTTTTAATTCAAAAAAAATTTTAACTAAAAAATTACTTTAGAAAACATTAAGAAAGTTATCACAAACGAAGCCTTAAGTGATATCCAAAATTCTATGTATAATTTATTTTTTAAGCTATGAGTGAATTAGTTCTTTTTTTAATGATCAAAATAATATTTAATTAATATAAAATTACTCATTAGATCTTTCACTCTTTTTATATATATCAAATTAGTTCTTCTTGAAATCACTTAGGTCCTTATTTAAAAATTGTAAACATTAAAATAATTTTTTATATAATCGATAAATATTTTGATCCATTATGAAATGTTAGAGGAATAATATGTATGATTCTTTTTTTTATATATCAATAGATAATTACCTTTAATCATATATCATTTCATCAAGACTTTTAATGTTATGCATATATATATATATATATTTCTTATTTTTGAAATAAATTGAGTTTATTAAACAAACTATTATTAAAAGATAATAAGTAAATGCAAACCCGCATTCAAATGAGTTATTACAAATCTGCAATATGAGAGATGAATATTATACTTGTTGCGGACTAAAATATACGCGGTGGTAGAGTTAAGAAATTTTCATCTTTGCGTTGTACGGATATCTAGCACACAAACAGAGAAGAAACAATAACACAATAATTTTTACGTGGAAACCCTGAAAGGGAAAAAACCACGGGGCCTTGCCCAATTGAAATAGTTCCACTAGTGTTTTGTTTGAAATACAAGAGACTGACTCGTCCACAAAGTTAGGACGATCATATTACAATGAATCTCTTCTAAGTTGAGATTCAATTACAAAGTTGAGCAGAGTGCTGACGTCACTAAGAAGATTGGGCAGAATTCAGGTGTCGTCCAAAAGTTAAGAAATTTTCGTCTTAGCGTTGTACGGATATCTGAATGCCGGCGTCGAACAAAACTTTGATGTTGCTTAGGAAGAATTCTGGCGCCGCTCGGATGTCCGGCCGTATTCCGGCGTTACTCAGGCGACGGGAAGAACTCCGGCGGTGGTCGAGGAGGAGTTATTCCCTCATATCATTCTCTTCTCTCTTCTCTTCTTCTTGCTTGGGGTCCCCTCTCATGAGAAATAAGGGGTCTATTTATAGATTTTCTGGAGTGGCATAGCTTGTAAATATGTGTGAGATCAGGGGCAAAAAGGGAGTGGTCGAATGGACGGTTGATATTGAATCCCTTGATCGTGCACCGTTCGTCAGACATTTGAAGGTTTTAATGGTGTCGGAATTCAGCGATCTTGGGTTCGTTGGATTCATATCGTCGAGCCGTTCGATTCGACTATAAGCTCGTCAAAATCGGAGACCGTTTGGTAACTCAAATTGCGGTATGAACTTTCCAACAGCACTTTGGGTGCTTGATTTTGGCTCGGATTGAGTTGAATTTGGTGTCGTTGGGTTCGTGTTTCCGAGACACTCAGTTCGACTATAAGTTTGCTGAAATCAGAGCTCAGGTGATCCCGGACTTAATTTATGAAGTTTCCGAATTGATTTTGCCTCGAGATTCATGCCCGATCAAGATAATTTTTTGATGATATATCAATACTATTGATGAACTCTAAACATTTATAAGAAGATTTTTTCGGTATAAGGGATTTAAGAAAAAAAAAAAAGATCACTCCTTCAAAATGTGAAGGGGTTTACAAGAACAAGGAAGAAGTTTGATATGCCATGATTAGTTAGTTGTAATGTCGCCTTATCCTAAATAAATAGTTGTTTAGGGTTTGTGTTATTAGATAAAGCGTTTAGAAAGTCTTATACAAAAAATAAGTTTATGTTAATTGTGTTCTAAAAAAAGATATTTGACTTTTGAAAAGAATAATTTAATCTTTTCAAGTGATTCTTCCAACATCACATCATATTTTTAGAAATATTCTACCCACTCAATTTGCTTATGAAAGACAATTTAATATTTTCAAGGATAATTTAGGCCTCGTTTGGGACGACTTTCTTGCTGCTTATCAAAACTATTTTTTAATATAAAAAAAATATATATTTTTTTGTACTAAAAAACTGTTTTAAGAAGCAACAAATAAGTCATCTCAGACGAATCCTTAATCTTTTCGAGTGCTTATGAACACCAAAATATCATCATAACGCAAATGAGAGCCATGGAGTAGCTCATGCTTAATGAGAAAAATGGTATGGTTGTTATATAGAGCTACATCCTATAGGGGTTGTTAGGTGTAGAGAGCCAAATTAAAAAAGAATAGGAATACAATATTTTATGAACTAGAGCAAATTCAACGGTTCAATTGTGTAGTTGTTGATCTTTTTTTTGCAATTCACTACAAATTAATTCCCTTTTACTCTTATTTTTGGGTGAATATCTACTACTTTTATTTCTATTGTGTTATTAAATCTTTTTTTTGGAGTGTGTCCTTTATGCAGGGATACACGACTGGGTTTTGGCCTGAGAATTTTGGTAAGATTTTCATGACTTATTTACTTCAGTTTTATTTCAGGCTTGCTTATTCTTTTTTGCAGGGAGAATGTGCTACACGTCTTTTATCTGCTCTTCCTAGCTTTTTTGGGTGCTGCCTGCTTGCAGCCCTAGAATGTGCTTAAGTTTTTTTTTGTAATGATTAGTGTAAGGAACCACTGGCTCTTAGGTTTTTTTTCTTTTTCTCTTGTAGCTCTTTTGAGCATTAGTGAGCTGGAGGTTCCTTTTAAGGACCTTGTAACCATTTTTTTGATAATTAACGCGTAGGCCCCTCTGTGGGTTTTAACAAAAAAAAAATCCCTTTATTTTAGGTTGACTTAGGATTCGTTTGGGACAGCTTTCTTATTGCTTCTTAAAATAGCTTTTTAGTATAAAAATTAATATTTTTTATTAGAAAGCTGCTTTAAGAAGCAGCAAGAAAGCCGTCCCAAACGAAACCTTAAATGGTCCAGACTCCTCCAATGTTTCAGGGTATATAAGCTCTTTCTTTTCTAATAATATTTCATTAATTGTGTCAAATTAATATTTAAAATTTTGTATATACATAGTTGACACATCAAGCTCAAACATAATTATTTCTAAATCATTTATTTCAAACGTGACTCAAATATAAAAGTTAAGAAGACAAGCTAATACTTGAAAGCTGGAAAATTATTTCCACATGACTACTATAACAAAGAGAAAGTTTAACTAGGGGTAAATGATAAGTGTATGTAAATATTTATTTTTGGTGTCCACCTATAATAATAGATAGTAATAATTATAATATTGGGCCATTGAAAGGGAAAATATTGGTCTTAATCAACTTAAACCATATAGAAATGATCATGATATATAGTTGAACAAGTCTACTTAATTTAATAAGTACTGACAAGCACCTAAACACATAAATAATCTGAAAGTTTTCTCCTCAATGATTATGCTTGTAGAAAATATATAGCATTGTGAAGATATACATGGAAGATTTTTATGGATCAAATTATAATAACTAAAGGCTTATAATGATATATATCTTCTATAATCATAATGGATATGGGCAGATTCTTTTATGAGAATGCAATTCCAGATAATGTTGTAACTACGCCTGGTTATTACAACATGATTCATTCACTTGGAAACTATGGGAGAGGTTTCAAACCTCCAGCTTTGTAGGATTTAAGGACATGAATTTTAAAAGAGGAGTTGAATAATAAAGAGAAACTCAATGAGAAAATTAAGAGGAATTGAGCTCAAATAGATGTAATTATTATGTCAGATGGATGATCATATATGAATAATAGAAGTTTAATAATTAATCAATAATCCTTATGACATTGCATTTTTGAAGTTAATTGAGTTCGTTGCTACCGAGGTTTTCATTTTCTTTTATGGGCCACTCTTCACCCATCCTTCCTCATATATATCATTGGGATGCAAGCGTTTGTACATAATATATTAGATGGATGGTCAGATCTGATCAAGTGAAGGAAATTGAGTTTATCTTTAGATTACTAGACAACATTGTTGAGAAGGTTGGAAAGCACTTAGTAGTCCCAGTGATAACAGATAACACTAGTGTTTATAGGGCTACACATATACCAAATTTATAGAGAAGAGGAAATATTTATATTGAGCTTCATGTGTCTCAAATTGAATATATCTCATTTTTTGAAAAGCTTGGTGAGCTACCTCAACCCAAGAATACACTTAGTAAAGCAAAGAAGATAACTAAATTTATTTACAACTATTTTTGGGGTTTGACATTCATGAGAAAATTTTCAAAGAATGAAATACTTAGGCCTGCAACAATAAGATTTGTCACAACTTATTTGACATTATAGTGTATGTTGGATGCTAGGCAACTTTTAGATTCTATGTTTAAATCTACAAAGTGGTTCAGTCGTGCATGGGCAAAGCAATCTGAGGGGAAAGATGTTAGAAAGATTGTTCTAAATGACATATTTTGACAAAGTCTCATGTATGCAACTATAACTACTGAACCACTAGGGAAAGTTTTAAGGATGGTGGATACATAGAAGAAACCTGCTACGTGTTTCATATATAATATTATGGATGAAATAAAAGAAATGATTATCCATTATTTAGGAGGGGAAGAGGGAAATTATAGAGAAATATATAATATTATTGATTTAAGGTAAGAGTTACAGCTTCATCGACACTTACATAAATCACGCTATTATTTGAACCCTCAATATCAATATGCAAAGATAAGTATACAAATTTTGAGATAAAATTATGATTATATCATTGCATGAATAGACTTATAGCTGATCCAACTGAAAAATCAAATTTTGACATGCAATTGGTACCATGTAAGAGTAAAGAAGTTTTTTTGGGATTACAAGAGGCAAGTGATCCAAGTAATTTTATCA